TGATTTAAACACTTTTGGAAAAAACATGTTTTACGTTTACCAAAAAAAATTATTTATATAATTATATGTGTGTCCTCAAAATTCCATACTCAAATAATTTATCTAAAAAAAATAGTTTGTCGTAATAATAAAATCAGTAAATTTTTACACGCTTACAGTAGTTCTACTCCGCAGTTTTGTAATGAGTTGACAAATTTTTTTTTTTTCAATTTACACGTATGAGGCATTTTTAGCTCTCAGACTCTTTTACAAACATCTGCTCTCTCTCTCTCTCTCTCTTTCTATTTAGTGTTTGCTTGATAAAAGCCTCTTTACCATTAAGTTATTCGCCTTGCACTGCATTGATCACTTGCCCAATTAAACTTTTTTTAAATTATTTTATTTTTGTGTGCATCGTTAAATAAATAATCCCTTAATCATTTATAACATAGTTAGCATCGACATAATTTATATAAGTTTAACGTTGAAAAGGGTATGCGTCAAGATAAAGTTTAGTGTGCACCATCTTTTAAAACCTTGAGCTATTACAATTTTAATTTGTTTCATATTCAAGCTGGAAAAACCCTTATAGCACTTTTACCACACAAGTTAGAATGTAGTTAAAAATTGTAGCTAAACAAAAGTTGAAAAGTTGACGTTGGAAAGAAGACTTTAGTTTTTTTTTTTTAATACGTGTTGAGTATCTTGGATCTTAATGTAAATTATTATTGAACTATCATGCATGATGTTTGTAAGTACTAAGAAACTAATATTATATTTTGACGTATTATTACATTTTTTGAAAGACAGTATTACCATTATAAAATCTAGTTGGGAATTTTTAGAGATTGGGTCGAGTTGGTGAGATTTTGGCATACAAATTAAGTTTGTAGAGCGGTGAATAAAAATTATATTCACGTAGCTTCTAAAATTTTTTTCGATTCATGAAGTTTTTTGTACGAAATATTTACGATTTACCACAGCAATATTTTACTTAAATAAAAAAAAGAAGGTAGTTGTATGTGAAGTAGACAAATTGCTAATATCTATGACTAAACATGAATAAAAAGGTCACTTTAACGTATAGTCAATGTAACGTATTGTTGGGTGTTTTTAAAAATGAAAAATAACTACTACGTTTTAATTTAGAAAAACAATGGTACACTTTTTCAAATGTAAAACAAATCCTTGGCAATCGCTATTTTTTTGCAACAAAAGACTCTGCCAAACAGTGCCACAAAAGCAAATACTTAATTATCCCAGTTATATTGTTGAAAAACAATTCTACAACAATACTAAACAGAATTTGATTCTTGCGCTAAGATATTAGTGATGCGCCAACAAAATGTCATTCACCAATCAGACTTAGTCTCAAATACGATTATTATTTATTAGTACAAAATTTAATCGTGTATATGATTTATGTATACCTTGTACAACTTGTGAATTATGTTTTTTTTTTTAATTCTGAATTCCTTAGTTCTTGAAATGTGCACATTGTAAGTAAAACTTGTAAAATCCTACGTATAAAACAATCAAGTAATTCGCGAGAATCGAGAAATATAGTGAAAAAATTTCTGGTTCTTGGGCACGCAAAAATTAGGTAAAAATGTGCATGCAACCACCCAAAAATAAAATTTTTTTTTTTTTTTTTTTTAATTTCGTCTCAAACAAGTCATCTACGTAAAAGTGTGGTCTTTATACTATGCTGTGAATCAACTTGTAGTTNAAAAAAAAAAAAAAACCCGAAAAGAGACGAGAAAAAACAGCCCACTCGACCCTGTGTGTGACCTTCAGGTACCACCGATAAGCCCGACCTGCCTGCAGCGCCAGCCCAGCGTAGGCAACGTCCTGGCCCGTACCTCGAGCTTCAGCTCAGCCGCGAATCCTCTTCTCACTCGGCAGCAAACGGAGCCAAGCAGTGCTAGCTTGCCCAGGCAGAGTTCAGCCGGTCTGGCCCATCAGCAGCAACGCCATCAGTCGACGACAGGAAGCGTCGGCCGTCAGAGCAGTAGTAGTAGCGCGGCTAGTAGTAGTGGAGGAGGAGGAGGGACGGGTAACGGTGTGCTCAGGCAGGGCTCGCAGGGCTCGCTGTTTGAGCAGATCGCCAGCCAGGCGAAGGAACTAGTTAGAGAGACTACGAGGCAGAGCAGCCAGGACGGCCTGCTTGCCCACATGGATAAGGTGTGAAAGCGAAAGCTGCCCTCGAACGCTCTCTTTTGCCTGTTGCGTTCGAGCAGCCGGTATTGTTGTCAATGGTGTTTTTGCTGCATGTTATTATTTTTTTTCTCACGTTTTATAGGTGACATTGATTTTTATATCCTACATTTGGAACATTATTTAGCCAATTTTTGTTTGTTTCTCTATCTCTCTCTCTCTCTCTCTCTCTCTCTCTCTCTCTCGATTTTAGCTCGCTTTGGGTGTTTCAATGTTCATGTGAGGAGCTGGAATTGTGTTGAATTATGCTTATCATTTTTGTTTTTCTGGTGTCGGGAATACACGACCCTTGTCTTTGTTGGCTAATTAAACATACACTTTCAAATTTACGTTGTATCATAGGAAACATCGTCTTTAAAATAAAGAAAATTTTCACGGGCTCCGGTGAAATTTAATTTTACGCAACGCAGAGCGCGAAAGTTGAACGTCGACAAGAACCCGTCGTGAATGGACTTTTTAAAGTTGCAAGGCTGTGAAATTAAGTTATACGCAGTAGGTGTGCTAGTCCAATTAAACTCTGCACTGAGGTGTGCTTCGAGCCGAGAAAATTCTCGATAAAGTGGCTCTCGAGACTTTGAAGGGATGTTAGACGGAAAAGGGGGGGATTTGATTTTCTTTTTCCTCGGCGTCACCAAATAATTTGTCCACGGGATGTTCGCATTTCTATTTTATTTACTTGAAAATAAGAAAATATCCATCCCAGGTCTGAAATGGCTTTTAGTGAAGTAGTAAGAATATGAAACTTGTATGAGTTGGAACATTTTTCATAGCTTTTCTTTGAAGAGTTTTGTTTCTTGTTCAATGGTTATTCGTACGAAAAATTTAAAGTTCCTGGCTGTACGTTTTCTCTTTTAAAAGTTACTTTGATTCGGTGACATTTTCCGTTGCTAAATATTAATTTTACTTCGTTTGAATGATTTTCATTAGTCTCTAGTTGTAAATAATTTTACTAGTATTATTTAATTAAACATCTATTTTGTGTACGAAGTTATATTGAAACTCGTCACGTACACCAACTATATTAATAAATTAGACTTCGTATGTATTGGAGAACATATTAATAATTAACATTAAAGATAACATTTTTACAAGACACACACTTACATCAGTTGCAAAACATAACATAAAAGCTCGGCACAAGACAAAACTCTAGTGTGGACTTGATTGAAAGTCCGATATTATACACAACATCTTATCCAATTCTACGTCTGGGCTCTGTTTCTCGTAGAGCTCTTTAGCTGCTCTCGCGCTAAAAAAGGGCAGGACTCCAAGTGGTTTTTTAAACAAAACTAATGTAAATATGTTTACTTTCATTTTGACCATCCATTGGTTGCAAATTAAAATATGTGGATGAAGGTTTCAATTATCAAAGTAAAAAAGAATACTAATTTTGACTAATTATGTCCATCAAGTAGATTATCAAACAATGCTAGATACTTTTTTTTTATTTTCAACAGAAATAAAAACTGATTTAAAAAATATTACAGACGACCAATACTTGACAGATCTGATAGATATTATTGTTGACATGGATTCGAAAATCGTATAAATTGCAGTCAATGGATGAAAAACCTGTAAATACGTAGTACCTCATATTAGTATTTTTTATCCACATGCACAATTTTTGTGGAATATCAAACAACGTAATGACTTTTCTGTAGGTACACTTGTTATTTTTTCATATCCAATTCAATGAGATCTGCTTATCATGAACATGATTTTTGGTTTTGCATTATTAAAACTATTATTATAAGTCATACTATAACTATCATTGTTACTTTACACAGGAAAAGAAGTGAATTGGCTTTAAATTAATCAAGAATTTTTTGCTGTTGTAAACTTTATACATACCGCGTGCTGATTTTAATGTATTACTGTCTTCAATGTCATATGATTTAATATTGTGATTGATGTTACAAGTGTCAAATGTCGTCTACTTATATTTATTTGGCCTTTTACGATCAATGTGTTTTAATGTGTAATATAGCTGAAACACCAAGCCAAGGAAAAAATTTCCGAAGCCGGAGAGGACAGTCTCTTTGCGCCTCTCGAGCAAGTTAGTTTTCTTTAAGAATTCCTCTTACTTATGATCGTACCCAACAATCCAATGACTCCCCGAAACGTCATCATCTGACGCTACGATTTGTGCAATTCAGCTGACCCAGCAGACGAAGAAGGCGATGGGCGAGGCGAGCAAGTCGGTGCAGGAGGTGTCAAAGACGGCCCTCGAGGCGAGCAAAACTGCTGCTGGGGTGAGCAAAAACACCCTGGACGATCTTACGTACGTGGGGAAGAGCACCATAGGGGATCTGACCAAGACTGCTAAGGAAGCTGCCGCGAAGAAGGGATTGCTCAAGGTTGTCATTTTTGAAAATTAGTTTATAATTTATACGTTTATAATTTTAATATTCAATTTTTTTTTGCCCCATTGATTGCGAAAAATTAACTTTTAGCAAGCTAGTACTTGGGCAATATTATAGTATATTTGCTTTGAAAAATCACGGAATGAACTTAAGGATACTTATTTTCTAACATCTTTTGCGTTAAAGATAAATTTAAGCATTTGCAACCATTCGATAATTTTAGTAAGAAAAAAGAAATCCTTACCGATGAATTACCACATTTTGAATGATTCAGACATGAATTCACCAATTTCTGTAATGTAAAAATATCTTTGAAAATTATTTTATGTTACAATGGAGCTTTTCAATATAGTGTGAAACAGATATAATGAAGATATCGATTAACTGACCTCCCCACAAATACACTCTAAAGTACAGTGAAATTGATGATGAAAAACATATTTTATTTGTCACTTAGGGTCTAGGAGATTCTCAGCAATCACCACCGCCTTCGCCACCAGCAACCATGATCCAACGGAAAGACTCGGGAACACAGCTCGTGCAATCGGACGCCCGAACCGGTAGACGTGAAATCGGTCGGGACTTCTTCAGTAATTTCAGCAGCGACCTCAATGGCATCGCCAAAGAAACCTCCAGCATGTTCAGCGGATTTTTCGGTTAGTGCCCGTACGAACACTTCTTCATCACCCGCGTGACATTTTTCTTTTCCTTTTTTGTTTCCCGTTCAAGTAAGTACGTGTATCGAGCCACGTGTGAATATTTCATGCAGCTGATAATTTAAGCGATCTTCGGCCGAGATTTTTTTTTTTCAAGCAGTAGTTTAGCAGAATGTGTAGAGTATCCATCACTTTACTTTTGAATAAACCAAAAAATGTTGTCTCCGCTGTCATTCGCAGGTAGTAAGAATAATGCTAATCGAAATGCCACTGTCCTCCCTCAGTCGCAAAAATCCAAAGGTATACAAACAATTACAGAAGTAAACAAAAATATTGTGCATTAAAACGTAGTGTCTGACACGCCTCTTTGTAAATCATACATAGATATATCCTGGATAGAGTATGCTTAAATATAGATTGCATGTCATCTTAGTCACGTGTTCATAGCCCCTCATTCCCGCACAACTGCTAGGTGGGATTGTTGGTATATTTTTTGGTATAATTTTTGGCTAATTTGCAAAAATTGTTCCCCAAGGCGGTAAATCGAGCTTAGTCGAGCGAACCTCGCTTATAAAGCACTCGTCGGCTAAGAATCAGGAGGAGCTCAGGAGGCAACAAAACGCAGAGAGAACCAACACAAACACGGACAATCAGGCCTTCCTCACTGATGTAATTACATACTACGCGTATCATTTCCTCATCCCTTACATTTGTTATTGCAATTTGGATAACGTTACGCTCCTGCAGGTGATCACTAATGTTATGACTGGTGAGGGTGTGGGTTGGCTCAAGCTAAAAAGGCTCAAGCAACTCATGGAGGACGAGAGTTATCGGGACTTTATGGTAACCAAGCTTAACAAGGGCTTGAACAGGAAAATCAGTCCTGACGATCACGTCGACGATGTCGTGAGTTTGAGCATATAAATAGCTGACGCTTATCAAAATTTCAACAAATTGGCACGATCTATTTGATTACAGTGCATATCAAAGCCCGTTTACAAGGGAATGCTAAAGTGCCTTCAGACGATAGCGCAGGGTTTGGCGTATACCTACGCTAATTATGGCCTAGGTGGTATGGCCTCCGTGTTTCAAATGATGGAAATAGCCCACACTCACTATTGGAGCAAGGATCTGTCGGAGAGTGGCTTCGACAGTTCTCTCATGTCTCAGGTGCGTTGAAAAATTTTTATTTTCGTTTTAGTAACTATCAAGTTATGGAGTGATATAGATTGCGTTGTATATTGATGATTACCACTTTACATCGTAAAAATTATTAAAGTATAATGTATATAATATATGCACTTGTGCACAATCGATAAACTTTCTACATAGAGAAATTCAGACTTAGAAAATAGTGATATTTGATTTAGGTAGTGCACGTCATCGATATTGTACACGATTAAATTGTGATAAGACATAAAAAATGTTTTGGATTCGACAAAAAAAAAAAAATTAATCCATAACTTAAAGTTGATGTTTCAAAATTGTTAGAAGTCACTTAATGTTATTTAAAGTAGTGCAAAGATTTCGAGGTTCTTTCGAATCATCAAAGGCATTTGAAGTATCTTAATGTCTTTAAAGTCATTCAGAGTATTGAAAAGAAATCTGTATAGGACTACAAGCATAATTAAAAATTTTTAAGATTTTGGGTGATTTCAAAGAATTTAAAAACTGTTAACAATTACAAGTGTCACAAAGACTAACAGTCTCCGAATCACTTAAAAATTTTCATCGAACCTTCGAAGCACGTAAAACCCTCGCCATATGATCACATCCAGCCGATTGTTTTTTATGTCTTACGATCGGTTCTCTCCTCACGCACAAAATAGGCGTCAAGTCCGTTCGGTAGCCGAGAAAATCTCACGTCCCCGCAGTCACCAAATCACCCAGCCTACGATCCAACGCAAAAGCCACCCGCGAACTACTTGCACCAGGAACCACCGCCCCAGCTGAGGCTCGAGCGGCCCCAGTCTCAGACTAGCAGTGACGAAAATCAGTCGACCACCGACATGTTCCTCGATATGTTCAACATGAAAAACAAGAAACTCAACCTTCTCAGTAAACTCACATCCTTCGACTCTGATGTACGTCCCCCCGTACGACTACAATTTAGATGTGCCATTGTTTAGTAACAACTATTGATCTATGTGCTGTCTTAATGGAAAAATCTTGCTAGGTTTACCGCAGGAATTCCTGCAGAAAACCCTACAAGACTTATCCACGCAAAATGTGCTTTTCTATTTATTTCACGTTGTGTTGTTTACGTAGATTTGTGTATATAACGGTTGTTGTTGTTGTTGTTGTTGTTGTTGTTGTTGTTGTTGTTGTTGTTTTTGCTTTTACAAGTCTAAAATATTATCTGTATATTGCACAGTAGGTATACCTTAAAATACGTTTTACGTCCACTTTCTGAAAATTTTAACCAATTCCTTAAAAAGAAGGCTGATGAATCTAGAGCCATTTGTGTATTTATGGTGGTTTATGGTGTCTAACTTTTGAGATCACAATGAAATTCATTGCAGAAGGGAAACGCAGCTGGCAGCAACGAGGCCTTGTCCACCGATGGTGGTAGCATCACAACGAATCCAGCCTTTCGATCGAGTCACCAGGCATCCTTTCGCAGTACAGTCTCCGACAGTGAGGTTGAACAGGGCAACGTAAGCTTCTCATCTCAATCACGAAACTATAGACTCACCATTAAACTCAACGCTACACAAAAACCCGAATGGCCTTGTATTATACATTTATTTCTCGGCAATCAAACAAACATTTTCATATTGCCTTTTGATATTCAGATGAACGTAGAAAAGTAGAGAGCCTCTGGGCCATTGATTTGTATAATTCACCAGTTTCCGAAACAGGTGAAGCAGCGCACGGCGAGCGTTTGGTCAAGTAGCAGGTCATCGTTGAGCAAGTTCAGTGGTGGCAACGTCTTTATACCATCGACAATGAGCCCAAGTCCCGAGACAGCGCGCACCTATCTGTTTGAGGGTCTCCTGGGCAAGGAGAGATTGACCCTGTGGGATCAGATGCAATTCTGGGAGGACGCATTTCTGGACGCCGTCTCCCAGGAGAGGGATATGATCGGCATGGACCAGGGACCTGGTGAAATGATGGAAAGGTTTGCGAAGGGATTTCTCCGTTCCTATTTTCTCTCTACTGGAAGACGCATTGTTGACATTGATGATGCATGTCGTAGGTATAAAAGTTTGAGCGAAAGCGAAAGGCGAAGGTTGGAGCACGACGAGGATAGGCTGCTCTGTACGCTGTTGCACAATTTGACGGCCATACTCGTGATGCTGAACGTCGAAAAAAAAGAGCTGAAGCAGAAGACTCGCCGGCTGCTCGGTAAAAGCCACATAGGTCTGATATATAGCCAAGAGCTCAATCAACTTCTCGATCAGATAAAGGACCTGGTAAGTCAGACATTTTGACCATCGATCCTGGCAATCTGATAGTTCGGGATGGAAACTTATTCAGAATTTTCGAATCACTTGACAGAACGGCAACGATATAGACCTGAAGCCCCTGACGTCCCGTCAGATGCACCGCCAATCTTTTACAGTCCATTCGGGCACCAACGCCGAGGGTGACCTGCGTTTTTTAGAGGTACGCCACGACGGTCTGGTGCTGCGCTCAGTTAACGGGGTGATCGTCGAACGCTGGTGGTACGAACGTCTGGTCAATATGACCTACAGTCCTCAGACCAAGGTGCTTTGCCTCTGGAGGCGGAACGGCGGACAGACCCAACTGCACAAGTATTATACGAAAAAGGTATTGGTAAGCACAATTTCACGTGTATGTGTGTGTACGTATGCCTCTACTCGTAAACCTTGTCAAGTCACGTTACGTTACATGTCAGGAATAGACTAGAAATTTCTTACAAGGCCAAGGATTTCTTTACAAATGACGAGCATTCAGATTATAATACTTTATGTGCCGTAATATTGAGTTAAATAATTTCGAAAAATTATAATGAAATATTAATACATTAAGAGTTAACTGGCTGGATTTTCAGTGCCGAGATCTGTATTACTGTATAAAAGATGCGATGGAGAAGGCCGCGGCTCGAGGCCGAGGTGGTAACATGGACGTCGAACTTGGTGGTGAGTTTCCAGTCCAAGACATGGTAACGAATCAAGGGGGTCTTCTGCAGGTCTGCATGGAAGGCATCGGTCTCTTGTTCGCCAATAGCAAGGTAACGTGCGTTTGCCATCTCATTTATTTATTTTTTTTCTTTTACTAATGAAATGAAAGATTTTTCTCTATTTTTCTATACATGAGAATTTTGTCGATTTCTTTTTTTGTTTTTTATTCTCAAATATAATACCAACGTTATCCCATCGTCGATTTGATTCCTGCTCTATTTTGTATCCTATTAATTTTTTGATTTTTCTTGATAATTATTCGAAATGTTTCGTGATAACCTGAAGGCAGTTTTGATGATGCACAGTGTTACGCTTATGTCATGTTACCAACTTATTATTATTCTTTATAGGCGTTTAAAACTTTTGAAGCAAAGTAAAAACGCTGTTTTTATTAATTTCTAAAGATTATAATTTTACTAATTGTAATTCTAAATCAGCTAATCATGCGGAAAGTTATTGTCCGTGTTTCAAATGATGGAAATAGCCCACACTCACTATTGGAGCAAGGATCTGTCGGAGAGTGGCTTCGACAGTTCTCTCAGCTGTACGTTTTCTCTTTTAAAAGTTACTTTGATTCGGTGACATTTTCCATTGCTAAATATTAATTTTACTTCGTTTGAATGATTTTCATTAGTCTCTAGTTGTAAATAATTTTACTAGTATTATTTAATTAAACATCTATTTTGTGTACGAAGTTATATTGAAACTCGTCACGTACACCAACTATATTAATAAATTAGACTTCGTATGTATTGGAGAACANTAGATATTTATAAATTAGATTTTAGTAGTCTGTACACTTATAAAGATAAAAATGTTATTTTTATCTTGATAAACCTAATCACTTTTCGTGGCTGTACCCTCTAGTAAACTAATCTTTTTTCTCTCATAATACTTTTTTTTTTTTACCAATTTTGTATATTTTCATATACAAACCGTACCAATATTTTCATTACATGTTTGTTTCTTATCTTTCATAATTCTTTATTTCATCTCAAAGTGCTAGCTAAAGTGGGTAGATTTTTTAATTTGTTCATAAAAAAATAACGTCCCTATTTTTGTTACAGCTTGATAATTAAAATAGTGTAAAATAAAACACTGTAAATATAAAACAAGATGCTTTCTCAAAAGATATATTTTAAAGGAAAAATACACTGTGTGTGCCGTAATTTAAATATGATAAAATCTTTAAACAATAGCTATTAACCCTCGATTTTTATCTTAAACTTGTTTTTTTATTGTGTTTTTGGTCTGTGTGATTCTTTGACATTTTTTATGAAGCTAAATTAATTACATCATCGAATCTTTCTCTATGTTACTTCTTTTTTTAATTGCATTGATGCAAGGACCACTCAATCTTATCTCCCATCGCTAAACCACTGCGATCTGCTTAAATTATATATATGTACGTATCTTCTTTAAATCTTCATGTAATGACTCTTCAAAGTGTTATTCAATTTAAAAAAAGAGTTCACTATTAACTGTTGTCTTTAAGTAAGACAGGCACAAGCTTTTAAAAAAACATTTATTAATTACTTAATAGTTATCACGTTCGTTCAAAAGCACATGAGTTAGAGCATTTTAGATACATCTTATTGGCGAAAAGTTACTATATTGATTATCACTATTACTATTGTTATAAGATGTTTATACCCCACATTAACCCTACAAGTATCATCATCGTAAAAAGTAAGAATTCATATACATTGATAAAATTATTAATAGATAATATGTTGTATTGATAATTTTTTTTCAACTATTTTATTATCAATCGCAGATGATAACTTGATACGTTATATCAATTTTATAATAAATGCTATTTGGAAATCGAGCAAATATTAGCTAAATTTAAATAAAACATATTTTTGGAAACACGGCAAGACTGCTACATTCTCTACTAAAGAAAAAAGTGGAATTGTAAATCATACTATATTTGATTTTTTATTTGAATTACGTTGAATTGATATTACACCATATTACTAAAATGGAACTGTTTTGTCCTACAACAATTTTAATGACTTTTCCTGATTCAAAGCATTGAAATAACTTTTCCTACTTTGGACATTTTATACCTCTGGACGTTTACTGTCCCCTTAGTAGAAAAAATAGAGTTCGCATCTGGTGTGCCTCCAACCAAGGCGAGCACAAGGAGTCGCTCGGGTGTTGCTTTGTAGGCCCTTCAGGTTTGGTGCTAGCTGCCCTAGTGACATATACGTCGACACGTATGGAAACTACTATTACCAATAAATACTAAAAATGTTTATTATTGCTTTCTGATGTCAGGTTTTAAGTGTTGTGAGACCTTACTTTGTACACAAGATATTTTAGTAAAGCTGAAAAAAGTTATAAAAGTCCTTAAAATTTTACAAAAACGTTTTTATGTCTTTAAAATTTATATTAAAAAACAAAAAAAAAATATTTAATCAATATAAACAACTCAAATTGCAAGGTACCACTCAATTACCAATACATGAGCTTGTTGAATAATGTTATTGTAAAGATTACAAGAGTTCTTAAATGAACACAAAAGCCATTGGTATTATGTTCATTAATAACACTTTTATTTAGCTGAATTTCATTTATAATTTTAACTACAGATGACTGTTTGGTGTTGAAAAACTCTTCGTTATTTTATTTGCCTATAGAAAAATTAGGTTGTACGGGGTTAGTTTCTAGATATAGCAAATATTTTTGTTTCTGAAATTTACACTTTCTTCCCAGGGATATTATCTTTCGAAATACTAAATTCGATCCTGAATATATATTTTCACATATATAGCAGAATACAGTCGAATCGTAACATTTAACTTAGCTAACTCTCACTTTCTTTTCATAGTCTAATTAGTAATTCTGTAACATCTTACACTTTTTTCTTTGGAAGAATATAATAATTACGAAGTAAGCAGTCGAAAAAATATTTATAATAATACGTCATGACACATAGTGTTATGTGGAATAATTATTTTGTATACTGTATTTTTTTATTCTATTTAGTTAGTCCTGAATAAAAGTAGAACATCACTTGTTGTATGTGAATCAAACCCTTTAATAATCATACTTAAAAGATATTATGTTTTAATTTTCCCCGACCGCGTAAAAATGCAATAAATGGTAGTCCAGTACAGAAAGAACTTGGAATAATCTGTAACTGTGCATAACAAGTCCTGGTCTTTTTAATTTAACTTTTTTGTCTGACTTTTACTAATGAAATGATACTTACTGATCTACATTTTTTTTTATCATTTTGAGTTTGAATACCATTTTCTTTTTTGAGCGTAATATTCAATGTCTTTATGCATGAAGCTCGATGTGCAGCCTACAATTACTTTTATCTGTCTTATACATATTATACTATATTATGATATTATACTTGCGTTGTACATCACATTGATGAAAGTCTCATCCTTATTCCAAAGCGGTATTATTTTTTTTTACATAATAGTATATCAGTCATTAACATAGCATTATTTATTACTTATATTGATTTTCCTAAACTAAATTTGGTTCCACTCGAGAGGAAAACTTTAATAGCTTAATATTATTAAAATCTCAAGAATTCTATGTGACTTTTCGACTAATAATTTTTTCTCTTCACCAAAACTAAACTTTCTCTACATCGCATCCCTACTTGCATTACGCTATATACAGAATTTTTATGAATCTTTATTATAGAATATTATGATACACGTAATTATGTCTGTTTTTCTTTTATTTGTATTCTGAATGCTGAATGCAACTAACAACTTCTATTTGCGTGGGATATGTATGAGGAAAGTTTATTCACCGGATCATTTTATATGGTTCCTATTATTTAATTAATACAATCTACAATATTTGTTGACTCTTCACTTTGATACTATTTTATCATACAACTACATCTGTTATATTATATGCCAAAACGCTTTGATTGATGGTGTACATCTTTAGTAGGCAAGTGTTTTTATAAAATAATATTGCATTAATGGTAAATAGACTTTTCTCACGGCTTGGGAACTTTTGAGATGGTCCTTGAACAATGGAAGAATATATTTTTCAACTGAGACGTTCGATTGCTCAGAGACAAGCTTATGAACTAGTTTACTAAATTAATAGGTAGAAAAAAATTTTTTTATTTATTTTCAACGAAAGACATTTTCTCAATTCATTTCTTGGAAAACATATGCAAATTAAAGTTATGCCATTCAAAGAGGATGTAGTTTACGTAAATAGAAATGGGATTATCGAAGATGAAAAATATTTGTCCCTATGAAAAAAAAATCATTTTTTTTTACTTCAATGATTGTTACTTGGTGAATTAAAAAAAAATATCACAAACTTTAATTATTGTGTCTCCAACTTTCACAAGAAATTGTCTGGTGATCAATACTCCTTTTTCATTATGTGATCCCGTATTCCTTGTCCGTGATTTTTCAATTACCCGATTTCTGTAATTCAAATAACAAACCTGTGATTTTACTGACTGAATTTGATAGATTTAATTTGAATCTTCTTTTTTTCTGTTTACTTGACCCGTCCCCTACGTCGGATCAATAACCCCTTGGCTGTGTGTTGGGCAAACAGGATTTTGAGGTACTAACAAATTTATTAATTGACACATTATATAACTATTGTATAACTTATGAGAGTATAGCAAACTATATCTGTATTTTTAGATAATTATATTATTATATGATCTCGCCCACCTATGTCCTTTAGTTTGGATTTATTAGTCATTATTATTTCATATGATAATACAATTGTCAATGTTAGCTGTGTTACGGAAATGCTTTTATCGATTAGTTGAGTTCATTTTTTTGTCTGCAGTTCACTTATTAGACACAAAAACGTCATGCAACTGACACTATAAATTTATTTTAAAGTCTTATACAAACTGTCAGATGGAAAATATAAGTGCAAATGTCTGAAGAGATATATTTAATTTGTTGCACTAAAAGTATTTTGTACATAAGTTACGAAAGAAGACTGCAATTTATTTTCCATCGATCGTAATCATAGTCAAAGAAGTAATCTTTTAAACGATTTATGAAGCTTACAAGTAATTCTAAGTCGTTTTCAAATTTTGATTTTATTATTGAATAAATTTTTATTCAGAAAGAAAGTTATATATTAGATTATAATAGCCTTAACTTTGATTGAACGATTAAGAGATGCTTTTTTGTTTGCACTTGTAGTTGACGATAAGTCTTTAGTTCATTTTTGTAAAATTCCTAGTTGAAACGGCTATACAAATTAATGTAATATAATACGTTTGTCATTAAAAATTAGATTGGCTTTTTTTATTTTTTTTCAAACACAACAATACGCTTATGTAAAACAAATTTCATTTTAATATTACTCTAACAAAGTTTGCATTGATATTAGTTGATCTATTCTATCCACATGATTGTACATCTATACAATACGATAATGGGTGTTAGTTGTAATTGTAATGTTTCATTTGATATATGTCATTGACAGCCCATTCATATATCAACAGGAGAAATCATTTTGAAAACGTTTCCACTAGTGCAAGTATAACTAGAAAGTAAACATTTAAAAATATTTATTCTGTTGGTATTTGAAAGTGCAGCAGTGATTTTTTTTAACAGGCTCTACCTAAATGCATTAAATATAAAAAGGAACAGAGAGAAAACGACGTATCTCTTAGTCGTTCTCAGCTTTATTTTGTTCTTTTACATAAATCAGGCACAATACACTAAGCACTTCAATTAATAAATTTTCTTTTTTATTTAACCTATGTATTATACGAAGCCCCTAATTTTTGAATTCCTGTAGATGCTGCTGTGTATATATATTCAAAATATCCTTTTTTATTTAAAAACTTGAAAAAAGAATTTCGTTGTGTAGTAAAAGTGATATTCTTGTAGTGCCTCGCACATGCGTTATCTATCAATTTTCTTGCCTATCAGATAACGATAGTCGTCAATATTATTAAAACCTCTTTTTCTGCCTGTCTATGGCTACTTTTTGTCTTCGTTCTATAAAATATACACTATTGCATACTTTTAAATAATAAGTGATAAACTGATTTAATTTGACAAATTATTAATAGTAGGCACAGTTGAAAATCTCAAAACCCGCGATGAATAAAAATACAGTTGAAAGTTTGTATTGACACAACAATGTTAAAATAATCAAATTTTCTTACAAATAAGATTTTTTGAATTTGTCCCGCAGGATGCAATATACAGTTAAGCCTTTGAGAATCTCTGTACTTAAAAGAAAATGATAATCACACATTAGCACTCCCTTGTCCTTTTATACATAATCGACAATACTTAGATCACTAAAAAAAGCACGCGAATGAAATTATTAGCAACTATTAGGTTTATATGTTATCACTGATAAAAATTTTCTTGTTGAAGATAAAACAAATTTACTTGCATGGTATAGCTTAGAACTTTCTTGATATTCATGTTGGGCAACTCATGAGCCTGTTTGCATTGTTCACTTCTTAAACTCAAAATAACACCCTCAATTTTTAGTTACATTTCATGAAAGTTATAATATTATTACAAAAATGTTACTAACTCATAAAAATTTCTCACTTTCATCACAAAGATAAAAAAATTTAATTGATATTTTTCCATTAAAAATTACCCTGATCATTTAAAATATGTAGTATATCGTCTCGTAGAGCAAAAATCGTTAAAAAAAATTTTTTAAACTATTTTTAACATTCATTAATCAATATACATTAAAAGTCAGCCCTATAGACCCCACAAATACACACGAGTGCACAATTGTAACCAATCAATCGTGAAAATAGTAATCATCAATCAAACACCATATTATCAAGACAATAAGCCATCTCCAGAGTTACCTGTCTACTTACTTGTTTGTATCTGCCTATTGCTGCATCTTTTTGCTAATGCTTTTTTTTTTGCATTTCACACGTTTCACAATACTCACTCAACGTTTGGAAAATTTGTGTAAGAAATGCATGTTCATGTCAATGTTTCCTGCTGATTATCTCAAAGCATGAATTTTGCTTGCATGTGATTGAGCTCAGTGTAAATTACAATTTATTAAAAAAGTATGTACAAACAAAAGTTATGAATAAAAAAAGTTATGTTATAGCTTTTTCATCCTGTACAATCTTATAGTAACTTTAGTTAAATATTAGTCAGTTCAAGCAGTTGATCAAAAGTTTGGTTTTAGGCATGCTTATTTATGACTGCATGAAATATTTTTAAACGCACGATTTAATCCATCAAAAAGTTGATGTTTTAGTTACACCAACATACAAAAAGTTAATGGTCTTTCTAAATACTGACACACACGAGTTTCCAGTTCATTAAACTATTACTTGTTCTGTAGTATGCAAGTGTGACAAACAAAACATGATATTAGAGTAGTATAAATTTATTTCATAGTACTTGCATGCATTGTTAGGATTAAGTTGATAATCATAATTCTTTTTTTTTTTAATTCGACTAATTGTTGCTGATGTTCTTTTCAGTTTTTTGTAAGACTCGAGCATATCCGCAAGTGCTTTACTCTGAAGGGTGGAATCTTCGTTTTGGAAGAATTCAGTAAGTACTGAACATAGTTTTTTTATAATATAACACTTTTTTCTCATACAAAAAATTTACGATTCATTATAAATAAACAATGTCACCGTACTATAAGCATTCTCATTTTTGTTGTAGATCCTAAGACTAGACAAATAATTCAACGTAGATATAAGTCCCAAATGGTAAGTCAGTTTAAGCACATTTTACTAGTTAAAAAGTGTAAGACTACTGATTGAACTTGTCATTTTTTAAGCTTCGTAGCATTTGTTATATGGTGTACAGTAGTTATCAAACAAACCTTTAAAATGATTTTCAATGTGAAAATTGGTGTGGTAAAAATTGTCGTATATGAACTCTGTTCTGTTTTTTTGCTAAAATCTAGGCTGACGAGATTGTTGGTTGCATGCACAGAATCTTCTCCATTGCGTTTACCAAGCGACTCTCATTGGAGGCTCGCCCCGTAGAGCAGCCGACAGATCGAAAGAGTTCTGATGCATGATGTCACGTTATCTATGTTTTGTTTTTCTTTACTTTTGCGCCGAAGTGCGCAAGTGTAAGTGTTCTTTTTCTTTCATTTTTTTCTTTTTTACAGTACATATCTTTTGCCTTTTTGAAGTGAAATCGTTGCTGTAAAAGTAAAATGTGTGGTTTTTTTTGTACTTGTTTCGACCCTTCAAATTGAAAAATGTGTTTTAAAAATTTTCTGGTCATTAAGGAGGCATGAGCGGCCTCCATGCAAAAAATTTAAAAAATATTGATTGAGCTGAAACTTTACAATAGTTTTATTTAAGGTTCTAATTTTACGATGGCATCAAAAAAATTGTGGGTTAACGACCAAATTTCAATGTCATAGTAGTTTCAAAATCGTACGTTTAGCACATGTCTTATGGGAAAATTTCTAAGTAACACAATGAAATAAATCACAAACGAATATAAATATATGGATACGCATGAAAAAGCGATAGTATGTACATTTTTTCACGTACTTTACGAAAGCAGAAAAAATATCCAATCTTAACGACTAAAATTTCGAAATATTTATAAATAAAGTAAGTCAAATCTATATGTACAGGTCTAGAAAAAGCATGTAAATGCCGTAGAGGTACTTGCTTTTAAGGAGTTCTAACCAAGCAATTCGTACTATATACGTCACTTGTATATATATTGCGCTCATGCCTCCTTAAATGTGGGTAATAAATTATCTTTTAAATGTGCATTTTCATAAGAACGAGTGAATTTATTCAATAACAATTGTTTGTTTATTACTTGCTTTAATTACTTTTTTTTAAGATTAAGTTAAAAAAATTATATTGTTTAGGCAGTTGTCCAATAATTAAAAGTAATCCACTGGAGCAGCATAATATAATTTTACATTTCTACCTGCTTTAAAATTATTCATGTTGAAAATAATTATTTTTTGTAAAACTTATACAGTTTTCTTTCATAAAGTATGCATTCATTTATCTGACAAAAAATATTTTTGAAGGAACTTAGTTTTATTGTGCGAAAATATTTAAAAATTTTAAAAATGTATATCTTTAAGAAAGAAAAGTACTAGGGCAGTCTACTTTTAATTTTTTTATTTGTGTACAAGATTCATATTTTTCAATACTCTTCTTACTTGCATGGTGTATTAGTTGAAGCTTGCGTCATTGTTTAAAATAATATTATAATTGTAATCAATGTTTATTCTAATGAAAGTGATAAACGAAGTGAATTCCATATAGCTACACTCTATTTAAATAATAAGATCAAATATAGTATTCCATACGATTGCACTTTAATTATTTCGACTTGAGAAATTTCAATGGATCATTAAGTTCTAAAATCCTAAACGCACGGTTTGCAGGCGGATCAGATCTGCTACTCCGTGCTATGTTTATTCTCATACGTGGCTACTGGCAATGATCATACGAAGCAACACCAACAGCCACAACAGCAACAACACCATCATCATCATCATCACCCCCAACAGCAACAGTCTCATCAGCAGCAGCACCACTTGCAGCAGAAACAACAACATTCTCAGTCTCCTAGTCCTCGAGGCTCGAACGTTGGTTTATCTGGTCAGCAGCAGCAGCAGCAGCAGCAACACCAGCAACAAGCGGTCCGTAGAGGCTCACAGGTCGAGTCTTACCCGCGACACCACTGACACAAAAACAGGCACTCTTTACCCTTTGTACATAATTATGAGGGCTGTGCGTCTTACGCTTGCTTACCTTGGGTGTAAAAGTGTATTTAAGTAAAAAGTTTCCGAAAAATGTAAAAAAAAAAAAAATAGTTAAATACAAATATGTATGATATTGTGAGCTAAAAGACGATCAAATGCGATCGCTCGTAACCTTCTGTATTATCCTCAATGATGTCTTAAAATTTTCTGAACAAAGCACTTGTTTCAACTTGCACAAGGTAGATTGTTTCTATGTTCTTTTAGAATATTACACATGTGCGAAAAAAGTATCCATTATTTTTCTTTTGATACATGATGATGATGTTGGTATTAAGAAGTGTACATTATAAGACAAGATGAATATTGTACTGAGGGAGTAACCATATTTTCAAATCGATGCTGTTCATTAGTATTAAATGATGTTAAGAAGCCCTTTAATTTATGTTTATTTTATTGCATGAGTCCTATATGTGTATATAAAAATATGTAATGATTAATAACAATTAAATTAAAATATTGCTAGAGCAATGCTGATTAATAAACAATAAGAAGACAAGCAATTTTCTTGGTAACTTGAAAAAAAAGAAAAATGAATGATTTAGCAATTAACCTCGCATTCTTCATTTTACGAATAAAATCTTGTGACTTAACTTGAAAGTGTCGTAAATGTTAAAAAAAAAGGTGAAAAAAAAAGAAATTGACAGTTTGCTACTGCACTAGCAAATTTTTGTTTTAAAACGAAAATGTGAGGTAAATTTTTCAATTATTGTGATTGTTTAGATAACTTGGAAAACAAAGTGTTTGCAGAAAAAAAAATATAAATTAAGAAATCGTTAAACAGATTTTTTTTAAGTATAAAAAATGTACGCTATAAGACAATACAAACTTGGTAGATAATTAATTTTGATTTTTAGAGTATGATGTACTATTTTTTGCTTTCAGCAAAAAGTGTTTATTTAATTAGTTATTTGTTAAAAAAAAATCAACAAAAAAATGATCTACCCCCCAAATTTTCCGTATAACGGAATTTAAACTTAGATATCAGCAAAAGAACCTATAAAAGTGTCGGAAATAATAATATTTATTGCCTTGCAGTTTCCAGGAAACAAATCATAAAGATGCATTTTTTAGCTTAGCCAATAAACGAGAGATCACATGTGTCTTAAGTTATCGTACTTGTTTCCTCAGATTAAAAGCAAAGAAAAATATTTCAAATAAATACTTACGATTCATCTTTTACTAGTAAATTTATACTTTTTATTTACTTTAGTGATATATTAAAATTGTTGTATCAAGTATAACTCAGAAAATCAGAAAATATTTCTTTTTTGAAATAAAATTTTTTTATCAATTCATGATGAATAAAATGAGGTTTCACAAGTAGTTTGAATGTGATGACAAAGTGTTGTAAAACTTAATGTACAATTAAGAAATTGTCGAACCAATTGGCATAAAAATCAAACCCTTCCATTCATTGGTCGTGCCTAAGAATTCATAAACATAAAAAAGCAATACAGTCAAATGAGACAACTTTCTAAGTCAAATTGTAATTTATTTTGAGATTCATTTTAATTTTTCATGAAGCTAATGATTTGAAAAATAATTAACACAACTGTATGNATAATTTATAATCAATTTTATTCAAGTATGTATCATTTTTTGTTAAGGCCAGAAAACATAAAATTAAAAAAATTTTAGTCAGCAGAAAAGTTCAGCATTTCTTAAGGTACACTAATAGCTTGTAAAAAAAAGTAAACTTTTTTAAAGGAACATAAAAAGAAGAATAAAAACGGTCACGGAATTGGTAAAACATTTATGTAAATATGTATATTTTTGTGAAATGTGTAAATTTGCGTACCCAATTATCTTCATATTTACGTTGTTTGTTCAAAATTAGAGATGCAAATAAAAAAATCATATCCTTTTCATCTATTGCGCGAGGAAACAACTTACCATACTGTGTAAAATGTATCATTGTACTAATAAAGATAAAAAAAAAGTCGTAGAAATATAGAAAAATTTAAAATACCATACGTGATATATTTATATTTTCTTGTCCTATTTTAAAGTTCTCATTGAAATATTTCAACGAGAATCAAACTTATAATTTTTCAAAATAACGTTGTCTGTCCAACTAAGACGCTCCTTTTATTAATATATCTTATTTTTGCTTGACAGAAATTTTGTGGGAGACAACGATATTTTATTCTAATGAGGATGTTTATTTTATTATGAATGCATGTAACACAAAAATTTTATATGAATTCGTGTGACAAAGAAAATTTCCAAAATTATTTAACGCACCGTTTAAATTGTTTTTAATATTTTTAAACATTTTTGATGTGGTGCAATAAGGATAGGGTTATAAGCAATAAATACGCATTGCATATTGTGTGTAATGTAATTATTGGAACAAAATAATGAATTTTCATAAATTACATAATTGTTAATTATAATATTAAGAAATTGAAAAATTTATCATAAAAATAATTATTTTTTATAATAGAATTACATTTTTCATTGAATAAAATAAAGATGTCGATGTAGTAAATCCTTAGAATTTAAAAGAAAAATATCATTTTTAAGTACAGCATAAGCTTTAAAATAATAATGTACAGTTATATACGTGCATTAATTTTTACATCATTTTGACGACCATATAATTTAACGACATTTTCGTCGGTTATATGAATCATACACATAGGTTTGTTTTATCACTACATCGTCACCCGGAAAGTCATCATTGATTTTTTAAAATTTATATTCTTTGTACGAGGCTCTTGTGCTTACGTGCTACCGTTAATTTCATACTCATTGAGAGCTGCTTGTATATGATCGTCGAGAGGCACATTTTCGTCGACATCTGGATGTTTGTAATTATTCAAAAAGTGACACGTACCCTCTGTATCACGTGGCATTTCTTTTGGTAGATTGTCTCTTGATCTTTCATCTAATATAAATCCTGGAGTTTTCATGAGAAACCTTTAGGATAATAAAAGTTTTTAAATTTTTATTAATAAAATGCTTTGATCATTCTTACATTATTAAATAATAATACTAAGTAATGTTCTTTTGAAATAACTTTTTTAGATGACAAGTGATTTTATGGCTCCCTAATAATTTTGGAATCATATTGTTTTTACGAAATTATGAATTTTTATATTTTTTATTTAAAACATGTAATTCATGTTAGTTAGATGGTAAATTATAAGTTTCAATGTAGTTATGCTGCTTTCATTTTTAGATTCTTATCTTGTTATTTTTTTACATAAAAATTAAGTAAAAAAAGGATCGCATACAATGAATAAATTAAACATTTTACGAAACTTACTCATAAGTGGTGGGACTGATGTTTATACGAAGCGGTTCACTTGATGACTCAAATTTATTAGCTATTGTTACATTGTGACCGAAGAGACAGTATCGTGGCATTTTCTTACCAACAACACCAGCCAGTACCATACCCGTATGAATGCCTATCCGCATCTGTAAAATATTTTTGTACATATGAATTTATCTTAAAATCTGAGATTATTAAAAATTAAGATACAGCTCAAATAAAAATGCTATGTATAGATGACATTACATTTTAAAGTTATTGGAAACATCTATAAATAACTTCTTTTTACCAAGAAAAATTTAAAACAAGACTTGAAAGACACTAACTTGTTTAAGATTAAAATTAAATTGAAAATTTTTTGATTCACAATATCAATAACTGAGACATGAAATAAAGCCGTCAATATAATTTTCTAATTTTCTTGGCAGATGAGGGTAACTAGTGATGGTACATACACTGGATGGGTCGGTCAGTAAGTACATCTAACATACCTTTATGGGTTTACCATCGTGAGTAGAGTGTTGGGTGCACGTTTCAATCATTTTCAGTGCCATCCAGGAAATTTGCTGTGCATGATAGTTTGTATTTCGGTGCAGACCACACGCCACACAGTAGGCGTCCCCTATAGTTTCCACCTAGAAAGTCGCACTTTTTGTGAGTTTGAGGTTTTTAAAAATATAGGATGAAAATTTCACTACATTATCGTTGAAATTAGTACTTGATTCGAGTTATTTAAAATGGATATTGGCCTAAGTGGCACTATAAAAAAATATTGTTGTCCAAATTATGTCCTAAACTAGATGAAATTTCAGAGGAACATTACATATAGTAAATAGAATACTTGTCATTCAAAAATTATCTTTAACCAACCTTATAAACGTCAAGTTGGCCACAGTAGACGTCGAATTGTTGATAAAGGTTTTGCAGCATGTTAATGACCATCATGGGCGTTGCAGTGGAACAGATGGCTGTGAAGCCAACTATGTCACTGAAGAGCATCGTGACGTCTGCATAATTTTTTGCCTCTATTGATTCTCCTGTACATGTGAAACATGATTTGGTTTTTCAATGATACTAGAATCATGGTAAAAAACTGCTACTAATTTTTTAAGACGAGCACAAGCCATTTTTCCTCATTGGCTATATTTTTAGCGTTATGTTGGTTGTGGATAACAAATTACTCCATTTTATTCATGTCAGTTTCGGAAAAAATTGACTTTACCACTAAGTAAAATTACTTGAAACTGTTTCTCCTACTTTTCATGAATGGATATTGGAATGATAAGGCACAAATATCAGAAATAGTAGTGTAGACATTCATAAAATCATTACTCGAATTAAAGACAGATTTTGAACATAAACTAGGCGTGGCTTGAGCTGATCTTACAGCAGATATTCTTGATACGATGATGTGTGTGCGTGTAAACATGTGTTTTGACTGTAACGAAAAAGTTGTCATCGACCGAGTCATCATTCACAACAAAAATAGCTTTGATGGATAATTGTTATTACAAATCTGCGTGCAGAAACAAGAAAATTCTTGTCTATATCTTCATGACATATTATTAGTTAGAAAGTTTTAATTGAAAATTTAAAAAATTTAGATTTCGGGAATACTTAAAGACTTGACTTTCCATACACTCGAGTTCAAGGAGAACAGAGAATAGCCTTTAATTGAACGAGAAAACAAACCTAAGCCTCAAAAGAAAGTCCTTCTAAACTTCAAAAGCATTAGACGTACAAAATTCTTCGGTAAAGGTAAAAAACTTACTGCGGAAAAAGCCATTGCAAAGGTGAGCTATACACGTTCCTCGCTTTATACGAGCCAAGTAGCCTATGCAAAGATATCGTGGAACCGCTAAGCCGTGAACTCAAGCGTCCTATCGACATGATTCTGACCCTTTTTGCGCTTGGCCTTTTTCCCTTTATTTTTCGCTTGGCTATGCTTTTACCTACAACGTCTTCTTACTTCTTTGTTGTTCTCATTCTAATTGCTTACGACTGTCTAATTGTACGTATAATTTAGCATAACAATAATAACATTATTGTAATGAATCCTTTTTTTATTTTTTCAATTGAATTAAAAAATACTCTTATGCAGACCATCCTTTCGTAGTTAAAACTTTGAAAAATTACAAATCACGAAAAACATGTCATGGATAAAAATTTTTGACACTGTCGCATTCATTTTAACTGTATTTTCGGAGAACAAGCCTTCCATTTTCGTTTTATGCAATGTTAGTGTAAACACAATTTGCGATGCAGCTATAAGATAAAAGTACCAACGAGTCCTACAGCGGGTACAATCAGCTATTATATAATACATTAAACTTTTTTAAATGAAGTGACAACATTGAGTTTCATAGCCATGAAACATTCCTCGACATGAAACAAATTAAATAACGCTATAAAAATCAATTAAAAAAAAAAAAAAAGAAAAAAAGAAAAGACGAAGGATAAAAAATCAAGGCAAATGAAAAAAAAGCGCAACGCCGGGATTTTTCGAGATTTACACGGGCACGCTCTTTCTTATCAGAGTCAATTCACGAAAAACGATATTGATGCAACGTGCCACTGGAACCTCGTACACCAACTCCACACAGAGCCACCCCACATGCATCCACTATCACAGTCATGGTATCCACATCCAACCACCACCCACCCACCTACCTACCCTCGTGTCACCTCCCTTCCGAAAGCTTCCACCTCCGCACATGCACACCCACTCAGATCTACTAGCACTTGTGCCCGTATATATATACTTTCATTTGCACACATACCCAGCCAGAGTCGCTTCGCTATATCCGGTGGGAAGATAAGATGGAGGAGGCTGACGTTTTTCTCCCTCTCGTCATCTACTAGCCGGGTCGTCTCCTCGATGGAACTCTTCAGCTTGTCCATGCGTCGCCGCAAGCCGTCCTATATATATGCAGACAAATGGACGTAAGAACAAAAAAAAATAAATAAAACGAGAACAATGCTCCGGGGAGATGGGTAACGTGCATTTGTCGGCTATTATGCACGCGCAGAGTTCAGTGCACGCTGTACGGGTGTATGCAAAGACACGGGGCATTCGTCAAATTAATGCTCGTCGTTACTTTTGCATAAGTAATGAGGAGTACTTGTGAAGGGTGGCAGTATAATACTGCGGTTTATACCTTTGGCTCGGAAACGAAACGCTTTTTCTTTCCTCTTCAGCGAGGATGCCCCCCGTACACTCTATCTTCGTTCTCTCGCAGCTGGACATTTTTCGCGACGCTTGCTAATTGTTCGAGCGATGAACATATCCAGTGGTATAGATTACCGTATTTTTTACCCCAAGGTAATTATTCTCAGACACTTTGCGTAATATTCTCGAGGTGTAATAACGACCAGGCATTTGTCACGAGCCCAGAGCTCTCTTTTGCATGCCGTTTCGGTAACTCGTTAGCGGACTGACACATTTGTGGCTTCCTGTGTCAAACGATGAAATCCGTGCAGAGGCAATATTTCGCGATCTACTCTTAAATATCCCCTAGTCAACGGCTGTATTCGTGTTCCTTGGCAAACAATTGGAAGAGCTGATTTAATTGATTTACCTGAGCTCTCGCTTGCTCGCCGACGAGAATGACGTCCCTCGTCGCGTCGTGCAGCGGTATGTCCGAGATGAAGAGGCCACGACCGGTGAGGCCCTCCAGTCCATTCAGAAAAGGCGAACTGACGAAGAGTATCGAGTCAGACTCCGGGCAGTGCACCATCTGGCCTTTAAACTCGAGCCCCTGCAAGGAATTTTTTTTCAACAACGAGTAGGTAAAATTAAAAAAAAAAAAAAATTTATTCAACTCTAAAACATGAAAAAACTTTCATAATCCTTGAAATATTAATTTTTTTACCTGCCTCGTCGTTGTTTTATCGTAAAGTTATAGATTTTCAGGATATATCTTAAGGATTTACAGTTATTCGTGATGTTATTTGATGCATCTTTTTTTTTTTTTTTTTTTTTTTAATTGATCATTGCAACAAAAATCACCAATTTAACCCTACTCTGTATAACCCGATTATATTGTTGTGTTGCTTCCTCTGAAATGTAGTGCATTAGAGAAAAGGAGGATTACTGGTACATCGTTACATAGATGAGTTGAACAGAACGCGATGGGTGTGCCTGAAGGAAAATGAGGGGATTATTTGGAATTGGATGTGTCATCAGTGACATTGACGAAGCTGTAGGAACTAATTCACTTTATCGGACATTGAATTGTCGTGCTTTGTGATTTGATGCTTTTTCGTAACTTTCTTTGCAAAGATATAGGAATCGCACTCGATGGTAAATCAATGACCTTTCAACACGGGATTGGTAGGCCACGTGAATTATTATCTTTCTGAGCAGATTATAGTGTAAGTAAGATATTGTAAGAAATATATTGATAAAAAATTTGAATGAGTACTCATTTCAACTGGGTCCCGTATCAAAATAATAAAACAATATTTTCAACAAAAACACATCGATTAGCTTTGAAATGCCATTAAATTAGAGTTTGATATTCGTTTTTATTTGATCGACAAGATATTTCAGTAAGACCTGTCGCATTTGACAGTTGATTCCTTATTTTTTCCAAGAATGGTTGTATTATCATGTTAAGTTAGTGTACAATATTTATATTAGCAACAGAAAATTTTTGACAAAATTCAAGACGATTAGAGCAACTTTTTAATTTTTTTAACGTACAGTGTGTAATGATACTTTCATGGCTAATCGATTTTCCTTTGAAAACAAGTGACTATGCATAAACACGAAGGGGCCTCCAATTAAGCTTGACCTATATATTGGAAAAAAAAGGAAAAGAAAAAAAGAAAAATCCAGAGAGCAGGTAACATACCTCAGCTTGAAACTCATCAGCACCCTCGGGCCTCTGTAGAGTGAGAACGAAGGGCGTGTTGGAGCGCTTGAGTATCTCGTGAAAGGCGAGGCTGACACCACGCGGCCTCGTGAACGCAAAGTACTTGGATATGTCACGCCCGTGCCGGTTCAATTGCTGCCCGAAGATGCGCATGAAACCAACCCCGAGCTGTACGAGCTCGAGTTCGCGATCGACGACAAAGTGCCAGGGAAAGGCCTTGCAGAAGCTCGCCACTCCCATGCACAAGTCCGCCGCGTCGTGCGACAGCGGCCGGAAGTAACGCTCCTCGTACTCGGTCACCTGCTCCTGCTCGCCCGTCGTCGTCGTCGTTATTGCAGTCATGATTGTCGGCTCGTCCGTACTGCTGAAGTTCTCAGGCGTGATGCGATACCTGGAGTGATAAGGAAGGAGTAGTCGAGCGTGACGAGTCTGACAAGTTGCACAAGTCATGTCACGTTGGAGATTGGACACGTGATGTACGAACACGGAAATAGATGCATTATTTTACACGCGGACTATATTTATAGCTGAAATCGGAGCAAGTGACTGCGAATACTGTTTATTCTTGTACTTCGTGCGATTCCTGAGAATTGATATTTATACTTTCTTGAATACTCGCTAGAGCCGTGGCGTATAGCGCCTTAGGGGGTGGATTACTGTTGGCAGCTTCATTAAGTTATACAGCACGCAATGATGGGGTTCAAACTTTGAAGTCGTTAAGAGTTTTACAGTTTGTATAATGTATAAATATGGAACTTGAGTCATTTTTTAACTATTTATTTTCACGAAATTCATCTATTGTTTGATTGAACTAGTTAAAATTTGTTTTTCTAATCCTATTGATATAAAATTTTCGGAGGCTTTAATTTTACCATAAAAAATAATAAGATAACTAGGTAATGAACAAATATGTATGGGAATTAAGATCTATGACTAAATGTAAAATTGTTTAGTACTTGCATTCGTGATAAAATATGAATAAATGGAGGAATAAATAAGTACTTGACTAAGGGAGTAAGATAATAAATGAAAAAATTGATTAATAAATAAACAATTCAAAAATATAATACACAAGTGAACCCCACTATTGTTCTTACTCTACAAATTTTCTCTTTCTAATAATTTTTTGTTCACACTCGGCCAAATTACAATATATGGTCCATACGGAGTTGTTAATCAAGAATACTAATTTTCTCATGAGTTAGCAACGTGCAACGATTCTCTAGGGAGTTATAACCCTATTTTATCACTCCAGTAGTATCATAGAGGCACGAAAGAATTTTACTTTGGGTGAAAAAAAAACAAAAATAGCTTCGAATCCAAAAATGCAGAAGATATAAAGTGAAGTGCCATAGAGGTGGAACAACTTCCGAGAGAGCCAAGTGCAGTTCAGCTGGGAAGAGAAAAATAGTCCAGGATTTCTGTAGAGCAAGGTACATCGCTTCCATCGAAAACGAGCTTCAAATGTTTGCCACGAATGTCACGGTCAATATTTGTTCTCCTCCTACTCTTCCTCGTAGTCGTCGTCGTCATCGTCGTCGTCGTCGTCGTCGTTGTTGGTAACGTTTTTTTCTCTCTTTACATACACTTACCGCCGATGTGTCTCTCGTAAAAAGCTCTACTGCCACTCTCTGTGAGGCCCTTTTGACACCCAACTTTATATTTTAACGGCTTACGAGGAAAGTAGTCGCGAGAAAATAAGCGATCGAGAAAAACGGGTTGGTGAAAGGGGAGAGAGAAATTGCATCCAATAATAATCGGCTGATCGTCTAAAAAAAAGGTGATGGCTCGTATGATGATAATAACAGGTTTTGTTGATCAATGTAAAGGTTTATTAATAATATTTTTGGAATAAATAAGATTGAAGTATTTTAAATTATGAAATATTTTTCGACTACAAAATGATAAAAAAACATTAGTTGTATTTTTCTCCAAGTATACCTGTACGTTTGATGTTTAAGAATATTTATTTTGATTTTTCTTTCCTCTATTAAAATAAATAATGAGTTGGGTGAAAAGTTAGTACATTCAGTGCAATTCTTAGTTTGTTAGGTAAGCTGATTACACAATTTCAAAAGAATTATTCACTTTTTCTTTGCCAGCTGTGCTACAAGAACTTTTGAGAGTCTACTTGAACTTTTTCCAACTCGCGTAAGTGGGATGATAATTTTAGCAAAACCGGATTTATTAAATTTAAAGTTTTGTTCAATTTTTAATGCTCTTTCCGTACGTGACTATCCAACGTTAATGTTTTTAGGCACGACTTATGTGTGGGAGTACCTTATTTTTATTAAAAAATCTTTTTATTGATTTTTGTATTCCTTTTTTTATTAACTAATATTAAATATTATAAGCGAACTTGGGCTCAACCATTTTACCGATTTTTTATCATTTCAAATCAAAAATTGTTTTTCTCTAAATGTCATGTACTATTTTTAATTGAAAGTTTTTTTCTTATAACTACTTGATGTACGTTATCACTTAACAAAAATAATTTTAGGAAAAAACACCTATAAACATTCTAGAAAAAAGTTTATAGTAAAGTTTCCAAGCGAATATTAAAATACTGTTCCCAAAAAATTTTAATTTTTAAAAAATTATTTCATGACACCATTTTCATCACAAAAAATTCTATCAAGTCCTGTATAGTAAGTATAAAAACAAAACGCTTTGGCGTAAACAATTGCATTGCTAAGTATTTAAAAAAAATTTTTAAAGTTTGATTACGCGTGTCAATGTTTGTGCTTGTTAATTTATTGACCAGTTGCAAGACTACATTTTTTTATTGGTAAATAACAGGAATTGGGATGAAAAAAATTGAGCTCCTAATCACCTACACCATCGCAGGTAAACAATAAAATAAACTTCAAGTATGCATCTGCATACCTTTCGATCCAGAAACTGTCAACCGTGTTCTGGAATCGAGGACTGATAATCGAAGTGTTTTTGGCTTGGCGCTGCGCCACTATCAATCAACTCAACTCCGGCATCGACAGTACTCGAAAGACAAAAAGTCGAGTGCACTTAAATTCCATTCGATCATGAAAAGAAAAATATTCCGTGGGAATCGTTAAAAGACAGCAGGCTTCAGCAAAAAAAAAAGAAATTTCTCGCTCATAACTGAGTACAATTCCTCTGAGCCCGTGTTCAATTAGCGAATACCACATTAGCGACGGAATGGGCTTCATTATTCCGAAAAATCAATTATCCCGAGTGAATTTCAAATGAGCGTACGTGAATCAAATATATATACATACACTCGGAGTTAAATTAAATTTCGAAGGATTTACGCGTCCGAGGGTTGGTTTTGGGGTCGTCGTGCACTTCCATTTCATATTTCCTGCGGTAGATTATTATACGGAAATTTGAAATTACTTTTTGACGTAAGCATGACACGTGTGAATTTATTTGTAAAATCATATTCGCGCGAAAGCGTGAACGTGAAGTCCGGTGTCTCCCCACGTTGAAAAATAAATTAGTTGTGAAAAGTGATGTTTCACGCTACACCGAGAAAAAGGTCATTAAATACATTACTCGCCTTTTTTTTTCTTTTAACTGTTCAAACACACAAAATTTTATTACTTTGAGCTGTAATTTTAATGGCTAGTGGTGATTTTTTACCGTTTAAACAGCAGGAGTTACTATCCAGAATGTAAAAACTATGGTTTGAAAAAAATAAGAAGTTCCTAGAAAATAGAGTAATTTATGTTCATACTACTGCATCATGGCTCTTTTCTCTCATGGGATACGAGAACTAAATTCAACATCGAGAACTTAAAAAAGCGTGTGAGATGGTAAGCTTAACCTCGAGCTTAACTTAGTAAATATCGATATGATTTTACCGTAAAACACCTACAAGTACACTGTGATCTTTCCAAATAAATATTATGGTTCAAATATTTTTCCAAATTTGTATTCTGACGTGTAAGTGATTGGTTTAATTGAAAAGCTCATTTGATTATCAATGGAAATGATATGTTGGTAGTCTTGCATGAAAAATTTTTACGAGTCCACGATGAAAACTTGATCCAAGAGTATTTTAACTATTTTCTTAAGGGAAGGGAAAAAAATCATCAATAGGATACCACGAGAGGAAAAAATTGAGCAGTAACAGAAAAAGCTCACCTAAAAAATTTCGTGTTGTAGGGATCCGGTAGTATGTAAACGTCGGCTTTGTCGTTGTAAAACTGCCGGGCGACGCCCTTGAGGCTCCCAACGAGCAAGTACGCAATGGACGGATGGTCGGTCGTAAAGTGGAGCTCGAGGGCACCGGGCGTCGCGATGCAGACGAACTCGGCCTCGTTGTCCGAGCCCGACTGGTGCTGGATAACGTCGTTGACGCCATCGAGGGTCGTTAGAAAAGCCGCCAGGTCATTGCCCAGGCTGTGGAAGGCCCGCTCTAGCAAACCCTCGCTCGAGGTGCAGATCACCTCCTGGCCCAGTCTGTCCAGGAAATCGTTCGCGTCGATGTCTGGAACAATGGAGGTTACAATTTCACAATATTTGCATGTGAAACAATGAAAAGTGCAAAAAAAAAAAAAAATGGTAGGAGAGTTTAGATGAATAGTTCGGGCAGTTGTTATTTGTGAGAGCTCCACAGAGAGATTTGTTTGGAAATTTTCTTGGTCAGTGCCATCGAGAGAGCAGAATTGACAATTTTATTTCAATGGTTCAAGAGGCAGTTTTGATTTTCTCAAGTTGTACTCTTGTAGCGTCCCACATGTTTGGATGGGTGTCGTGTATGTGCAGATTACAACGCGAGCTGATTGGTTTCGAGTTTGATTTGAACTTTCGGCGCTGATGATTCTGACAAGCAAAGTTCATTTAATACTAGATTCTTTTTTTTCTATTAAAAACTCCATGAACTAACATTTTATTGATTCTTTTTTTTTTTTACAATACTGTACGATATTGTTCGATTTAATCAATCATTTTAATGTATGCTTACAAGTACAGTACACGCATCAAGCAACTGCAAAGCTCTTGCTGTGGATTTATTACCCTAGGAAATTAAAATGTGAGCTTTCGACACCCTGCAATTTTTTTCCCAATCGTTAATCTAGAAAAATGGCGCGATTAAAAAACTCCCACAGCCGAGTCCGCTCTCATCGCTGTAAATAAATTTTAAAAAATTAACCGGATCTTTTAGATTTTCACGTACGCGAGAGAGAAAATTATTCTAGAGTTAAAATTTTTTCACTTTAGGTCGTGAACGCGTATTCCGCGTGAATTTCTCCTTCAGCTGCACGATTACTATAACAACGTAAATTCTTCTATTTTTTACTCTTTCAAAGTTACCACCCCAAAAAAAATCACTTGTACCTCTGTAAAAGCAGAACAACCAGTGCCATCCAAAGCGTACTTTTAGAAATTAAAAAAAGAAAATTCAACCGAATCCCGCGAAATGATGCGGCATTTTCCTACGCTTGCAGATAACACGTAGTATAAAGCAGGGAAACGAGCCGCGGCTCCTGCATTGTTAACCCGATAATGATCCCCCATGAAAACCGAGCGCCTACAGTGTAGCAGCGGCAGCTCATCTCACATCCCGCGTCCAAGTTTCCCAATATCCCCCCAAACGTTAACCATGACAGCGTTCAGTCGACCGACAAACGATCGGGGCCCGTATCTATAACGCGCAGCTTATAAGTCAAAAGGCTGTGCGCGTTATCGGGCCACTACATACGCTTGTGGGATCGATAGCCGAGTGGTGCCTATATACGCACGGGTTATATGGGTCTAGACGATACGCGCGTCCGTCCCTCGGTATTTGTAAGAGCGAATTCCGGGCATCGGTGTACAATTCCCCCTTCACAGTTATGGTATCCTTCCGATCGTCTTCTTCACCGACATCGATTTCTGCAGCGATGTCGAGGATCTAGGAGCTAAGGGCGTCGCCAATGTCGAGTGTACAGACTTGATGTGCGTGTAGGGGTGGCTGCTGGAAAGTTTCGCGAAGTGATCTTTTTTTCTTTTGCCGGAGTTTTGATGTTTACTCCCTTGACGTAGTGCTTCCTGTTTGGAAAATTCGTGCTCCACTCGAGCCTTAAGGAAGTTATTGATAATTTTTTTATTTTCATTTTTATTTTCTTGTGTGTTGCAGTATCCGTGAAAACCATTGGCTTACACAGAGTGGATAGTGAGAAAAAAAGTTTGTTTTTTTTCAAGATAAAAAGTAAAATGTTATGTTTTTTCTATTCATAAAATGAAGAGAGTGCAGAGCAGGGCTAATTGGTATGTTTGACCGCAGAAAATGTCTTGTTCTCCAGAATAATCCAGTAAGCCTTTTATTGCCGGGAAGTAATTAGCATGAAAATTCGGACTTAACGAGGTTTAGTGGATTCCAAGCTCCTTTGCCAAAGAAATGGATAAGGTGAGGAGGATTTCATGAAACAGCGTATACGTACATCCGCACTCTATGTTGTTCAACGATCCACGGGTATGTTTAAATCAAACAAAAATTATTGATTGATTTATCGGAAACAATTTATAAAGCAATAAAACTCCCAGCTTTACTCGAGTTTGATCCAACCAACGATTTCCAAATCGCTTTGTCTTTTGACAATAAAATAAAATGAAATCAAACGTTAAAGTAACGACACATCGTGGTACAGAGCGCCCGAGTGATCCCGTAAAAAATCACAACAGTATATTTCACTTTTATACCAAGCCTGCAAAGACAAGAATTTGCTGTATATGTAAACAGACATATTATAGAGCCGTTTTTGCTATGAGAAATGGCACGCATCATAAAAATACAGCACCACCGAGGTACACACAATGGGGATGATGGTTTATCTCTCTCTCTCTCTCTCCCCCTCTTTCTCTCGGAATCAAGCACCACATATCTCCCTTGATTGCGCCAAAATTGTGCTGTAAATGCTTTTAAAACCCACCAAACGTCGACTACTTGTTTTCGTTCCTCATCTCTGCTTTCGAGAGCTACACGCTCAATCTTAGCAGGCTTGTTTCACGAGTTTCCGCAATGTAACTGCGGCTACAAGTTCGACATCCTCGGCAGGGCTTTAGAGCCACCACGAGCAGTTTGTGTGATGTGTATAACATTATTTATCTATCCTATTTCGTTAAATGACTTATGGCTATTACTGGCTTTCGGCTGCAACTTCTTCGCTGAATATTATTGAAAAACGTTGTCTTTCGTGTACAACTTTGTTTGAGTTTAGTAATGTTAGTGTGCAGTGATGCCATTAAGTCAGTTGGCTAAAGATAATATTAGCAACTGAGTTTGGTTTGCAATCGTAACTAATTTTACTCATCGGGTGGTCAACAAAAATCCATTTCCGTTGTCTCCGGTACTAAAATCACATCTTCTTTTTTTAGTGGTTCTATTTTTGGGTAAACAATACAATCGACTTAGCTACGTGCTTTCAACCAGACGCCACATTTGACCCACTAACCTGTTTCGTTTATTTTGATTCATGTGTGTACAAGCCCCTTGAAACTCGCTTGCCCTTGGATCAAACGTTTTTTTTATTATCAATATAGAAATTCATTTCTATCTCTCACAGTTACGTTCAGTTTTACTAAGTAAAAATTTTTTTCCCTTCACAAACGAGTCAGCAATATTCCCGAGAGATTTGTTTTCAGATTTCGACCTTCCAATAACGCGAGGCGAAAAAAAGAGCCCAGTCACTCGTAATACGCTTATCGCACGGATAGCAGGTCCCCTGAAAGAACGAACGTCACGCAGGGAAAAAAAAGCTTAATAACCATCGCACGCCACCACCACCACCATCAGCCAAGTGTTGCTTGGCTATTTACGTGAGTGCACAGTCGTACGCGCTCGTATAGAAGATGAAACGCATATTCTTGCGCCTTCAGTGAAGCAAAGCGCACCCCGTCGCTAGGATACGCAATCTAAGCGGTGCACCGGGGACGGCCGGAGCATATGACATCCTTTTAGTCCCTCTTTCTCTTATTTATATATGATTTTACGCGTCTCGCAGGTGTACGGGTTGCCTACGTGCTCTGCGAGGGCTTTGTTGTGCTCCCTGTTAAACTATACTGTGCGGTGTTGTTGACTGTGGGCGCGATTTGAATACGCTGGCTGTAGAGTGGATATGTGCCTTGTTGATTTTGTGCCACAACCTTTGGTACGGCAACAGTAATATATCGAGTGTGCTCGAGGGAGGACGTCACTGTTCAAGTATTTCCTGGTAGCTTCAATCAGGACCCGTGATTACTTGTTCTTTCATCTGATGGATTTGAAATTGGTGAGGAAAATTTGTAACATATCAAGTCTTTTTTTACACTCTTAAGCGAAAAACTATGAAGAACCCGAAAGAGAGATACGCCATTACTTACGAAAGTAACTCAGACACAGTTTTTCATGTAAGACATTGCGTGAAAAATAATGTTGTTTCACGATGGTAAAAAATGTAATTACGCAATAAATATAGTCTCTTTTCAATGTGAATTTAATTTCAAACTCTATGTCAGGGTTATTTAAATATTCAATATTATGTATGGAACTGACTTTGTATGTGTATGAGCATGATCTAGTTTCAAGTCCACCTCAAGTAATTTATATGTAATTGAGCTCAAAACTTAGTAGATAACTTCATATATACTCGTAAGGGGAATATGATGATTTATATTTGAAGAGGTTACATCAAACGGAAAAGGTTTCCAGTAATTATACACCTAAACTTTAGACTCTACTTTGAAAAATTGTAAGTCTAATTCGGGTGCAGGAAAAAAGCAAAAGAATTGGTTTGCTTATAGGTATGCCTCATAAAAAATGCGATCCATTGTTGGGAGCCAAAAAGGACTTTTTTTTTGTATTTATATATTTGACTGCTCTGTAAGCGTTTCTCTTTGCCATTGTCATTGACTAACTTCTTCCCTTCACATACTTTTATAGAGCGAATATCTGCTACATACTTGCAGTGGAAATTTTTTCAGAAAGAAATACGGACTGTGAACACGTAGTAGCAGTGGGAAAACAGCAGTTCTTTCTAACAACAAAGAAACATTGGATCCCCATTATTTACGATTTTAAGAAAATGTCGAATACTTTTCTATGTCTAAATTATTGCAAACTAAATGACGAAAGATCATTTGTTGCATCCTCGTTATAGCACTTGCATCCAGTGCGTTTTTCAGGATACCGCGACGAATGCAGAGAGTGAAAAACATAAGAAAAGCTTCGAAAAGTAAACGTTTATTCAAACGAGAGTAACAAGGTGCACCTTTTCAGAGATCTGAAGTGACTACTGAAACGAGCAAAGAAAAGTTTTTCAGAGGGGTTGCAGGCCGAATACGCGTCGAAATAATGAATGGGCATGGAAAGCGAGGTCTTAAGGCTCATGGCTCAATCTTGGAAATGCTGCTGTTTGTGTGTACCAATTACAACGGATGCACGACTTCTTCTTCCCATCCTGAAGATATTTTTCGTCCTTAAGCAAGCTATGAACAATAGACAAGGATTTTGGTGTCTCAAAGGTGTAGTTGCAAAACTATTAATTGATTTCAGAATTTACAAAGATTTTGCCGTAGATGTATACATTTAGGTACACGTTTGTCCGTATATACCAATACAGGGTATACATGCATACATGCATGTGTGATGCACAGATAGGTCAGAAGTTACCCCACCTCGCGCGTGGTGGTTCCACATAGCGCCCCCGTTTTTACTGGAGCGCGAGAGTGAAAGAGAGCCAGGAGGGATTTCGCTTCATGCCCCCGAGCACGCGTCCGCACACGTCGAGCTTTTGCCTGTCTAGCTCGTTGTCTATATCTTCCGGGAAGCTCACCTTTCAGCTGTCCTTGCCTTTCCCAGCTTTTTTTAACTTTAATCTTCATGAATATTCACCAGGTTTATTATTAAATTAATCACCAGATTCTGATTCCTTTTTATGGTAATAATATTTAATCCTGATGGGGACTTTTTGTCGTAGACTGCGTTGTTTTAATATGGGAGTTTAGAAAAGAAATAGACAAGACTGATTTATAACGTAATACCTTTAATTCACGGAAATACTCTCAAGTTCGCCTTCATCTTCCTCGAGAATACATGTGTAAGTCGTATGTTCTTTACAAATCTCGAGGATGTTTCCATTGAGATTTATCTCTACCCGTAAAATTTCGTAGTAATTATTAAAACTTTTCATTGTTGGAATATGAAAAAAACGAGACGATGTTAGACAAATAGTGTTATTATTACTTTTTGCAACACCGTGTTTTATCTATTCGCGAAACTCCGGGCATACATCATGTTTTTATCACCGACAGAAAGGAAAATAAAACGGACACCGACAAAAGGATGGAGAAAAAGTGTACCGACCTCTCCACTTTAACTGGCCTAACAGCAGAAGTGTTGTCCCAGCACACCGAACGTAATTGCTTTCATCTTCTCCCAAACTCTACTTACGAGCGGCAATAACTGTTGGCGAGCTTTTCAGTGTTTGATACTCGCCCGACGAGCTCAAAAAGTCGATTCTAGTATAGAATGTAAACATGAACTATTTTTGCGCTGCAATGCTATGAAGTACATCTACGTACATGTGTACACGCAGTCTACCAGCCGAACCATCGTCTTTATGACTTACATTTGATTAATGAGACATTTATAGGATGAGGCATTCTGCGACTGACAAGTGCATATAGACCGGATGATTGAGATCTCGGCGTAAGCTAAAGTGTACCTGATCTAGTACATGTTTCGAGCTGAGTACTTACTTTTTATTTCGTTTCTCGTTTGTCAGATCTAATGAGTTTTGCTTGAATGAGTTTACTAAATTTTTTTTAGAAAAAATGTAGGTCAATATTTCATGAGCAAACGGAAAATCATAGTAATCTTTTTATTAATGTCAAGTTGTATATTCATAGTGAAAATAATGTCTAACCGTCTGTTTGGTGTATAATCCAAAATCAATAGCGTCATTTTATTTGTAGATAATGCGCGGGTTAAGGGTACTTACGCTGGATAGAAACAACCATCAATTTGATTATAGCCCGTTAGTGGTTTATTTGAAAACTCGCTATCGCAACATTTAAGCGCACCACTGTAACGCACAGCAGTTTGATATTATGGATAATTTAACTTACGATGATCATACCAAAGTCACAAAAGGTTGTTCAGCAAAATCATGACCCTTTTACGTCAAACATGAAAGTGATAGCTAAAAGATACATATATATTCCTCCCTTTATTTTAAATTTACGATTACATTGATGTAACACCGATTATAAAAGTAAAGTTTTATGTTTTGGATAGGTTGAGATGTAATCAAACTGCTATGTGATCTTACACGTGTTGTATGCTATGCGAACATACATTCGTGGACTACCAAATACGACTATCAAATAAGGAAACACATTTTTTACTCTGCAGATCGAAAATATATGTTTGTGTAGCACATGCGCTTATACAAATGTACGTGAAAGTCAATGTATGAAGGATGACTAGAATAACATCTCTGAATGAAATAGAATTCATAAATTTGTTGGGCTTGCAATGTGTGTACAATCATGAATACGTTGAAACTAATGTCATAGAGCGTATATGAGTGATGTTGCCTCGACAGCTCTAGATTTTAATGGATAGGGTGTGAAGGGTGTTGTGTGTATGACATTTTGAGTTGCGTTTGAATGTACGTATTCGCTACAGTTTGTAAAATATTAATGGCAGAAATGCCATCTACATGTCGACGCCCCGGGCGAAGACTATGCCCTTTTTTGGTCCCCGACGAAGACTATGCCCGTTCTTTTTGAGTCTGGGCGAAGACTATGCTCTTTTCTTAAGCCCGGACGAAAACTATGCCCTTTTTTCTAGTCCGGACGAAAACTATGCCCTTTTTTCGCGCCCCGACGAAGACTATGCCCTTTTTTGGCCCCGACGAAGACTATGCCTGTTTTTTTCGAGTCTGGGCGAAGACTATGCCCTTTTCTTAAGCCCGGACGACAACTATGCCCTTTTTTCGAGCCCGTGCGAAGACTATGCCCTTTTTTTCTAGTCTGGTCGAGAACTATGCCATTTTTCTGAGTCTGGGCTGAAAATACGTCTTTTTCTCGCGTCCAAACGAAAACTAAATTAAAAAACACCGCAATATTATTTACTAACCCCTCTACTAGCTACTAGTACGCTGAAAGAAGCTCACGAATACGAAGCTTCTAAAAACGATTTAACATTTACAGATTTCTCGATATTTGTGTATATATATTTGTATCGATGTAAGTTTTATCTTCACATCGAGATTCACATGTACGTGAATCTACAGACGCCTTTGTAAAAAAACAACATGTTATCATTATTCTTAGCAGGTCTAACGGCTTAAGTATTTGGAGTTTTGATAAGTGTTTGAAAAAAAGGGTTTTGTGGCTTTTTTTTAAAAGATTCCGTAAATTGTATGTAACAATAACTGTAATTAGTTTACTTTTTTCTCAATTTTCTTACGAATATTATATTTTATCATACTACGAATTGTACAAATTTTTTTAATTTTTTAACTTCAAGTTACAATAATTATATTAGTTACTTATTATAATCAACAAAAATGTAGAAAAAATAATAAATTTGGAAATAAAACATAAAAGAGTCTTTCATATTCATTAATTGCAAATTACCATGCTCATAAAAACATTCCTGAGTTTGTATTATTATTTTATAATGGTGTATTATTATTTACAATTGTTTTATATAAATGTAAACAACGATCACTATATAACTATATTTGACTATATATCTAATTACAAACACAAATGTAAGGTGAGCTTAAATGAATTGTACTTTATCCGGGCTCCAGAAAAAGTCAATATTTTCGTCCAGACTCAGAAAAAATGTAATAGTCTTCACACGGACTATAAAAAAAGGGCACAGTTTTCGTCCGGACTCGAGAAAAGGGCATAGTTTTCGTCCGAGCGCAAGAAAAGGGCATAGTTATCGTCCAGGCTTCGAAGCAGGGCATAGTCTTCGCCTGGGGCGTCGATGTAGACATGCATGTAGCTGTTTATATATTGACGAATGCATCAAATGTCATAAGTCACTAACAAATGTTTTATAAAATTAGTGGCTATCGAATAAATTAATGTAAGAAGTAACAATTAACTAAACTTTCATCAAATTATACGTTTTTTCGAGTACGAATTGAGGCAGGATTATCAAATATTCCAAGTCCTAATCAGTATACTTGTATTAAAATTAGTGTTTGCAACGAAAAAAAAAAAAAAAAAAAAAAAAAAAAAAAAAAAAAAAAAAAAAAAAAAAAAANGTTTTTTACTTTTTTTTATACTACTGCACAACTCTATGATACAAAAATTCGATCGTGACGTAATATTTTTAAGGGGTATATCCACGTAGGAATAACAGCCAAAAAATACGAGTAATGTGATGATTATTTACAACTTTAAGCGTTGTTATTTTTATAGAAACAACTTTTTTTTCAATAAATAAAGAATTAAGTATCTTCTGAAATTGTAATCAGATTTAAAAATTAAACGAATTGCTTTTACTAATTACAATAAATATCGAGAATTCATTAGAGTGCATTTTTGTGGATAATGACTTACGTATAGTATGAAGTAAAGTCACAATACTCATTTGATCATCAATCAAAAGGTCGTTAAAAAGACTGTCCTTATTTCCATGGTATTTAAAAATATATATCTATCGCTTAACGTATCGACAAACTGAAGCACTCTCAGGTGATTACATGTTTGAAATAATATTTGATAAAGCACGATGATTTATGATTTATTTGAAATCCAATTCCAAAGAGATTAAATGATCAAGCTTCCTCGTCAGCGGTTCGATAATCTTGCTCTTGAAGTCTCTCGGAAGCCTAAAAAGTCGCTTGCCACATAGTTTACCTTCTTCGAGTCGTGCTCGGTAAAAAGCAGAAGAAGGCGATGCTAAAGAAGAGGAACTCGCGCTGGGATGTAAGGCTTCTGAAAGAGATTCACGAGGGCAACGTTTTCTTGCTGGTTCCATTGCGCTATGGATATTTTATTATGTGTCCTACATATTGATATAACGAAAAAAAAAGGAAAAAAAACCAGTAAGTCCACTGGAGTAATGAGAATTCAGAAAAAAATGAGATACTATCCTTCAACTTTTTTTTTTTTTCATTAGTAGATAAGGTCATTTGTATGGTGGCTGACCTAATCGAGATATTTCTACTTGACAGTTTTCAATTGATTATTTTAATAATATATTTTTCTTATGTGTTATTAAGTATACTTGTATTAATTAAAGTTGAATTACAATTCATGAGTAGAACTTACCACAATCGTAGTTGAGGGTTTCGTAGATATCCTCCAACAAATTATAGTTTTCTTCGGTTTCCACATTATCTAGTAGCTTTTCGCTGTAACATTATTACAGTTTCATTAAAACCTATCAAAGTTTTTAAACTAGTTGTATTCAAAAAAAGAATATATTTTTATTGTGTTTCAACAAGTTAATTTAATTTTGCAAACATCGATGGTAAATTTGTTTCTTTAGATTGCAGCAATTGTATCGCAAAAGCACAGATAATGTAATGCAAAAGTTAAAAGGGTTGAATAATTGAAGAGAATATCAATGTAACGAGATAATTTGCAAGACAATAGCATAAAATAGTACTACACAAAGGGCATCATTTCAACGCTTTCGGTATTATTCAAACTTGTGACAAATATTTTGGCTTACACTGCAGATACAAAATAAAAAAGTAAAAAATACTATGTTATTGTTAACTATAGTTTCTATAGTTTAACAATATCATGCATGTATTAATTTATTTCTAAAAAGGTTAACGTTTGAGTGCAGCATTAAGAGTAAAAGGGAAATATACTTACAGGGTCGCTGCGGTCGAAGGTGGCAGCTTGCTTTTGTTCAGTAGTGCGTCCAGGGCCGTGGCCATGATTTCGTTCTGCAAAGGAGAATAACTTGTAAGAGATAGTTTCGATTATATATGTATAGGCTCGTCGATAACATTTTTAGAGGAGGAATTGCAAAGTTTACCCAAGTCTTCCATTAAATATATACAGTCCCTTAGTGTCAAGTTTGGATCTAAGAATTTTATTGTTCATCTCGATATTGTTAAAGTTCGTATCCAGATTGAATGATGAATCATGACTGTAACTAATTTTATTAAAATAATTTTTTGATTTCAACAATCGATTCACTCATTGCGTTTAATTTTATCACGAATTATTTAACTACGATTTAAGAATATTTAAGAACAGATATTAAAATATTTATGTCTATGAAAATCTATGCCACCTAATTTATCAACGAGAATAAATATGATAAAAAAAAAAATACTTCTTGCAACCTAGAATATTCGAATCTTTGAATCTAACGTTGATTATGTATTTTTTGAATATTTCTCTGTGTAAAATCAAGACTTGATGAAAAATACTTCATTAATTGTATTTAAAAATCTTATGAAATTTGGAATAAGAAAACTCCCAATTCAATTTACAAATATTTTGTAACTGCTATGAACAAAGTTAATAGAACTTAAAAAGTATTTGAATTTGTCATGGAAATTACCGTTAGCTCGTTAATGTTAGATGACCATCGGTAATCGTCGTAAATTCGAAAGCCTACTAAATCACTCGCAGTCTATGCTAGTAACTAGATAATTATAGGACACGAAATACCGGTTATTAGTTTGTCAGTTATTAACAGCCTCATACGTAACTTGAACCGAAACACTACGATTGATCCTGAAGTGATTAAATTGTGTCATTTGTAACTCAATATATCTTTCACCGATTTAATTTTCTATTTCAATAATCTACCGCTTTGCACTGTTCGACATGATTGATTTCAACATATTAGTACTAATACCTATACTAAATTTATCCATTTCATTTTTCAACTGATGTAAGTGTTTTGTTAAGGTTCAAGTTAATAATGTAAATCTAATTACGATTAGTTTACCCTGATTTTCATAGATTTAAGACAACTTAATAAAAGCTATTTAAAAGAGTTTTTAACACATAGAATTGTATTACAAATTTTTAATAGTTAATTATTGATGATTTGTGATTTAAAATAGTAGAGAACACAATAGTTACACGGTAAAAATGGAGCTAGCACACAAAATATCCGTGAGTGTATCTCAATGTTTTTTATTTTAACGATTGTGTTTATTATTTCTAACAACATTTTTCTTTTAGTTTATTTGAGTCTCATTAATTTGGATTATTTATTTTATACTACTTTTATGATTTTTTGTTAATTCATTTTTAGACGGATGTATACACGTGTCAAGCTAGTGAGTGAAATTTCAATACATCTCAGACCGTAAAGCTTATGAATGCATTTTTGGGGTTGATGGTTTTCATTATTAAATCTCCAAATGGCTTTATCCATCAGAAAAGTCATAAAAAATGTACTGATATGTAAATAAATAAAAAATTACGAGATTTATTAAGAAGAAGAAAAATAATGGTAATCGCTCTTTTTCCAAAAAATTCAACAAATAAAATGCTGTATGAATATTTTTACTGATTCAATAAATGATTTTCCTCCAGAATTCTGTTCGAAAATTCTAACGCTCGAAAAATCTAAATATAACAATAGTAAGCATACAATAAACCAAATACAATTTTTCTAGAATTAACTCGTGTGTATCAACACGTTTTTTAATCATCAGTAAACTTTATCGTCGAAACACAGAGACAAAGTCGCCACTCGTACACACGGCAACTAAAAGAAACTTAGCAGCCCTCAAGTCCTCACGATAATCTAATTGAAGCTGCTGGTTGAGTAACAACAGGGTGTCCATCCCGAGAGGTATATACATGTAATACGTAACTCTCTAATCTACATCCGCAAAGGTATACAATTGCTTGCAGATACTTCCTCGTAAGGCTCTTTAGCGAATTTCCAGGGCACTAACTCGATCCGAGTGATAGTTGAAGTATAGGTAATTTCTATTATCAAAGTATATACATGTCGTGGGATAATAACGACATCAGAGGCAAATTAGTCGAGTGTGTAGCGTTGGTATCTAATTTGCATTCTCGGCTATGGTCAGCGTCAGCAGTGGAAGTTCACACAGTACAATGTACGGAAATGAGGCTTATTTTGGGGAGTACATGCATAGTTGGAGGTAATTTGTCTGCATGTTAAGCTGCTTCGGTCACCCGATCAAGCTTGACACTGTATAATACGTGGTAACTTCGATGCCGAGGACTCAACTTTGGAATAAAATATGTTAATTGGATGCTAAAATGTGCCTGGAGGAGTATAATTTTATACGAACGAATGGTATTAAAAGTACTTGATTTTTATAAATCTGTATTCTTCTGTTTGAGGTAATGGTAAAGGTGCTATTAGTAGTGTTAAAAAATCATTGTGGAATTAGTACACGTGTCTTGTTGAAGAATACAATAGTTGAACAAAAATATAATCATTTAAATACCAAACATTAGAAGGGATAATACATATTTTTTGCAGTGCAGAATGGACCATAAATAGGGTTTACCAGTTGGATGTAAGGAACGATGAAAAAAACAATGTAAGAAATGTTATGACGATGCTTCTGATTGAAATTCGCAAAATTTTTTTCACAATGTAAACAGTTAGTTGTAGTAATTTTGATGCATTTGCACAATTGATCAATAATGCACAAAAATGACGGAATGTAAATCAGCATCTTCTTTTGTATACCAAAAAATTTTGATACTAAATATGTAAAAAAACACAAACAATGAAAAAATGCACAGCATAATGAATGAAGCTTTACGCTTACCAAAATATGTACATTATGTATGCGTGTACATGCACGTGTTACCAGTGAGAAGCAGGTAATTAATTCGTACGTACATTGAGGTAGACAGCTAGTACACATAAAATAGTCCGTGGTGTGGTAAACGAGCAAAAATGGACGCACACCAGCTGGACATATTAATTAGTCTCGTCGTGTACAGCAAAAGCCTCAGGACAACATTATGTTCTCCATACGCATTAAACGGACACTCCCACAGACATATAATTGATGGTAAACATTATGGCATACGTATAGGTATAGCAGATAAAGAGGGAGATAGAGACTTTTGACGTGCTCTGACGGCTGTTCCAATTCCAAAGATCTCCCTCGCTCTGATGGCACTGCGTGTGCCACAGCTGATTGGCGCCTGGTAATCGATACATCCCACTGCCTGCGACTTTGTGTGTGGGTGATGATGGCACGGAGATGCTCCTTTACTTTTCTCGCGTCTCCTTCTTCGTCGTGCGTCCTCGACTGCTGGAGAACTATTTCGAAAATTCGAGTCAACAATAAATTCGCTGGCTCGGGCATCCCCGCCGTAGTTCCTTATTTTTCTTGGAACTCGCGCGCTCTAATGGAAATCGAAGGACGCGTCGTTTGCGTGAAATTTTTCTGCATTTGCATGAGCGCGCTTGCACGCGTGCGAGCTCTCGGGGAAAAGGGAAAAAGCGAGCCCCCGATGAATAATAGTCCGCTTGGCATTGGCCGCTGCAATCGAGAGAATTTCGAAGCCGTGGCGGCGTGTAACTATGCAAAAAACTCGAGCTTCGTCTCCCGCTTGCCCTCGCTAAATTCGTTTTCGCCTATAAACTTGTTTTTTCTTCTTCTTCATCTTTTTGCTGTAATTTCCTGTTTTATTGTCTTGCAGTGGGTGCTTTTTGATCCTGTGACCAGTGAATGGGAGAAAAAAAGTTGGCACCGACGCTTTTATTCACGTGACAAATGAAAAGTTGTCTCTGGAATCGTGTTTGTAAACTTATTTGTTTTTTTTTTTTTTTTTTTTTTTTTTTTTTTTTTTTTTTTTTTTNTTTTTTTTTTCAACCAACATATGAGTTTTGAACTTTTCACCCGCTGAGTTAAAGTGAAGGTGACTTTTGAAGGTTTAGAAACATGTTCTGGTTTTTCGATGCAAATTTTTTTCGTGTCTTTGACTCCAGAGCTCTACTTAACGTTACGTGAAACGTAGATACAGTGCATTTATTATTTCTCAGTTTCGGAAAGCAAATTTCTGATGCATTGAATACATTTACACAAATATGAAACCAAATTTTTAATGACTTCAGATATTATTGGATTGTTTCACTAATCGATACAGTTGTTCATGGTTCGAAGAAAAAAAAATAGCTTTCGTCCTTTAGAGCTTTAAAGTAATTATCGCTGGTGGATAAAAAAATATCCAATTACTTTTAATCGGTTTTACTCGGGAACGCTTTCATTAATGCTGTTAAGATATTAAAAATTTTTGATCCACTTGTAAGAGTGTAAACTCTATGCACCAAGTTAATAAAGTGATTACCCGTTTATCCACATTAAAGGCTTTGGTATTAAAGTGACCAAAATTTTCGATAACCAACAACAATCACGGCCACAACTAACGATGAGTTGTGATAGCTCATATTACTTTATTTTCGGCTATTTGCAATGATAGTAGGATTTACCGAAAATTGCAAGTGATTATTGAAGATACTCTTAATTTAATACCAAATTCCTAACTTTTATTTCTTTGTGGGTACATATAAAAAAGTGAGTATAATTTACCACCTAAAAACCTTTTCAGGTGTGAGGCATATTGGAATAACTACACTACCGTCCCATCGGAAAATCTGTTTTATCATATAATGGGAACATACAGCTATGATATCACAGGCTCTGAGCCCAGCTGCGACGCTTCGGATTTTTACGATTTCTTTTTAAGCTTACCCGCCGAATTTCTCCGTTTTTCGCTATTTTGCTTCGTGTCAGCCTCTATGGCAAATTCAATTACCACCATCGGCCAGTGGAGCTGGGTATTTCGCGTTCCCGACATTTCACATCGGAGATGCGAACGCAACTGGCTAACTGGATTTCCGTCAATTCAACAAAGTAACAAAGTTCTCTATCGATTCTCTCTGGTTCGGCGAGGCGTGTCCGATTCCACGGAAATG